GTCCCAAGTCGATGATGGAGTTCCTCAACGCGGATGTATTAGACTCGGTGAGCAGCGGCTGTGCTCACCGGACACGGCGCGATGAAGATGACGGAGCCGACGCCTTGATCTCCACGCCGAGGCATCCCCAAACTTGACCGAGACTCGGGCGCTAGAGTCAAGCTCGGTGAAGAACTCTCGTCGACCGGTCATGTGGTGGGTAGCACCGGTGTCGAGGCACCACCATCGACCTTTGTCGTTGCTTTGGAGCCGCCGCCGAGGAGGGCGTGTGCTTTTGGCTCGTCAAGGTGGAGGAGGGCCATTGCGGCGGTGCCCGCCGGAGGTAGCTCGATGCTTGCATGTGCCATGAATAAAGCCGGCTCCTCCTCCGCTTTGTCTGGCGACGTGGGCACGGCGCGTCGTGGTTGTCGGCGATCCTTGGCCCAATGGCCAAGGCGGCGCAATTCGCGCGCGGCGTCGTCTCGTCTTTGGCTTAGCTGCTTGCGGCGGCATACCTGGCGCCTCATGAGCATCACCTCGGCACGTCCTCACGCCCCGGCCTGGGCGTCTCTGCGCGCCTTGCGAGGCTTGCCATGCTTGCGACCGCCTATCGCGGAAGAAGGCTCCCCCTTCTTCCGGTCACCTTGGCTGGCAAGCCACTGCTCTCGAGTGAGAAGAAGCTTCCCGCCAGTGGTGATGGGCCCCGAGAGAGACTGTGGCTCATCGTTGTCGACGACCTTGAGGCGACCTATCGCCTCCTCGATCGACATTGTCAAGAGATCCAGCAGGGACTCGATCGAGCGAGCCATCTGCTTGTACTTCTCGGGGACGCAACGAAAGAGCTTTTCGATAGCTCTCTCCTCGCCGTAGGTGTCATCGCCGAACTGCACAATTTTCTGCAATAGAGTGTTGAGACAGAGAGCAAAGTCATCAACGTCCTCACCTGGCTTGAAGGCCAGGTTCTCCCACTCCTTGCGAAGTGCCTGCAGTGTGGACTTGCGGGCGCGGTCGCTGCCGATGCGTGCCGCAGAGATGGTGTCCCAAGCCTCCTTGGCAGTCCGCTTGTTGGTAAGCGAGAACTGCATCTCGGGCGGGACTGCAGCGATGAGGGCATCCATCGCCCATCGATCTAGGTCGTGTCGACGCCGCCAGACGGATCGCCTCCCACATGTGTCCGCACTGAGCTTTACCCTCATCACCGCAGCCCACTCGACGAAGTTGGTCTTGGTGAGGTAGGCCACCCACCGCCGGGACCGACGTCCCGACAACGACTGGAGCCCGTGGTAACTACGGTACCGATCCGGGAGAGAGAGTCACGCCGCTCGCGAAAGGCGCGCTCTCCATCGACCGTCGGTATCGATCCGGGGAGAAAACCACGCTGTGTGGCCGCTCTTCCATCGATCCGCCGCCACGTTCTTTGTCGCGCCTCTTCCAGAGCGCCGCCGCCGCGCGCGCCTCCTCCGGAGCGAGCGCCGCCGCACGCGCCTCCCCAGAGGGCTGCCGCCGCCCGCGCTGTCGCGGCTGCCGCCCGCGCTGTGAGCGCCACCGCCGCGCGCGCCTCCTCCAGAGCGCCGCCAGCGCGTCGCGCTATGCGCCGCTGCCCGCCACGCTGCGTGGCGTCGTGGTGGCGCCATCATCGCGCCAGCTTCGCTTGCCTCCTCTCTCTAGCAGCTCGAGGTCCGCGACGGCGGTGTCGTCGGCCGAAATGGAGCTGCCGATGCTTTGCCGTTTAGAGCCTCGACCTCCACTACCGCCAAGACGCTGCGCATTACGCCGCCGCCGCCATTCCGCCTCGCCTCATGCTGCTGCTGCTCATTGCCAGCCCTCAACGCCCTTGCCAACCTCGCGCCCTTCGCTGCGCGGCAAGTTGGCCTCTCTGCCGCCGCCAGCGTGCTCGAGGCGACCGAAGGCCGAGATCGCCTGCGGACATGACGCTACTCTGGGGGCTGGGTCTGCGTGGGGAGAGGGGCTGCTTGCAGCGCAGCGGGGAGGAGTGAACAGAGCGGCTGAGCTGCTTTTCCGCAACAAAATGGCTGTAGTGGCTGGGAGAGGAGATGAGCATGAGATGCTCAAAGCTATAGGATAGTACGGATCTGATACCGATTGTTAGTCGTTGAATTCTTACTCTTGGTAGTAGCTGAATTCTTACTCTCATCGAGAGAGGATGACACTAGGAGTTGGGACAATTTTCTGGTTTATTTCTCAATGCCATGCCAACCTGAAGGGTTGGGATACATATTTATAGGTTGCTAGCCAGCCAAGCATATGCCAAGATGCTAGTCTAAGATGCTAATATGCTGTCCTCTAAGATGCTGTCCTAAGATGCCGTCTAAGATGCTATCTTAAGATGTTGTCTAAGATGTTGTCCAGTCAAGATGTTGTCCAGTCAAAATGCTGCTGTCCTCCAGTCCCTGCTGTCCTCCAGTCAAGGGTGCTAGGCAGCAAGACCACCATGCTGTTGCAGCCCCACAAAGACTGCCGCAGCCCCACAATGACCACAGAGACTTATCCCATCAAGGAGATGGATCCTGTGGTGATGTCAGTGGAAAATACAGGTAAATTCAAGGTGAGTTCGGGGGAGGTAGGAACGGAGGTAGTGATTCTCCAGTGAAACTGGGTTTTGAGTGTTTCTCTTTGATAGGCAAAACGAGCAAATCGTTTCCAGCCGTTCCACGCTCAAAATGAATCAGGAACGACGCTTTTGGCATGGATCCCAAACGGGGCCTAAAAGTAGCAGTGTCATTTACACAGCTAGATAAAGGAAAGAACACGCAACCTTCCTCGAAATCAGTAAAGGCGTGAATCAGATGCTTTAAAACACAGGAAATAATTGAGTGGCGTTACTATGGCAAAACAATGAACTGCGTTGAAGAAAGGTTAACATTATGTGATAACCTCATAATTATTACAATCATATGGAAAATAAAGTAATGATAAATGCTAGAATTGCATTAGCATTTTAGGCAAGGATATGAGAGGAGAAGAAAAAAACGAAGTTACATACCATCCAGCGCGTGGTTAACTGAATCGTAGTCCATAAAGGTCCTCGTCGATCTGTTCTGCGATGGTTGCATGAGAATGATGGTATGCCTTCCAGCCTACAAGTGCGTTAGAAATCAGATAGTATGCATTGGAGCCCAAAACAGTCTCAATCACCGAGTAGACATTGCTGACAGGGCAGAGGACACTACGAAGACAATGCAGTTTGCAGACGCTGAAAAGGGCGTTCAAAATTACAGAGACTGACAATTTGTGACAATATAAACTATTCGCAGATGTAACCATATCATTGTGGCATTGGTTAAAAGCGATTGAGCGCTAAAAAACATTTGTCGTTTTTTTTTTCCTCACTTATCACAGGCTCTGCAGTGCAGCCAGCACCTTTCGGACATCCTCAACAGAATAACTAACACGGAGAGTCTGTTCGTCACACTCAAGAACCACCCAGTTCCAACGGGGCAAACACCAGAAAGCAAAATCCCCGTGCAGAGCAAACTGCATTCGGCATCTAACTACAGCACTGGTGATAAAACAGAGCACCACCGCCGCCACATGCACAAGGCCTGTTTGGTGTCGGCGGCCGGCTGCCTGCGCTTCCTGCGAAAACCTCACTAATAACGAAAGCAATGGCTGAACTGCTGAAGCAGTGACAGGTAACAACAAAACAGCGTGGTCGCCTCCGCCACTGCAGGAGCTGACAGGTGAAATTTAGCAGGGTTAGATCGTCATACCATGCCTGCGGCCTGCCCTCTGCGCGGAAGCTCAGCAGGAGACTGGGGACCCCGCCGCGATCCCCGCAGAATCCACCGTCCAACGACCAAACCCTAAGGGCACAAACTTGCAATCAGTCCAATGCAATCCAAGCACTGAATCACAGAACTATTGGGGCAAAGGTTCGCTTACTCAAGAAATGGGGAAAGTGCCGCAGGAACGACAATAAACACACGAACGCGCACCGAGTCCCTGCTGATGCCCCCGCAACAGCGAATGCCGAATAGGATGTAGAGGAAGCCACTGCCCACTACTGGGTTGGGTGCAAACGGGGTGAGTCTGCTCTCGGCGGGGGTTGCGTACGAGCCACGCAGGGAGGGCAACGGTGATCGGTGAGCTATTAGCAATGCTCCAGCTCCAGTCGCAACTTCGCAGGGGCCGACCCTGAACTGAAGGAGGGGTGACTTTCACCAGGGCGGATGAACAAATGCTTAAGCAGATACGGGCTTTTCACCTGGGCAGATAAACAAATGCTTAAGCTGGCACCTTGTGTCTTAACTAAAATAACGTGACAGAAACAATGGAAAATTGGGCAGATAAACAAATGCTTAAGCTGGCACCTTGTGGCTTAACTAAACTAGCGTGACAGAAACAATGGAAAATTCTCAGAGCTTCGTCTCCAACTCCTAGACCGCCAGAACAGCGCCAGTCGACCGCCCAAGATATCAAAGCGTGAATACATACTAGTGCATGCGCAGCCAAATGGAATACTATGTACATACACAGCCAACATCAAATCTTTAGTAGATACACAGCATGGAAATCCAAAGCCCAAAGGAAGAACCACATGCATCACCAAAAGAACATCACGGCAGCAACAGGGTAAAACAGGACCTAGGCAGATCGAGTCATGACTCCTAAATAACACAATATATTGACACAATATATTGTAACCGATAAAACATTCCAAAACCATAGTACAATGTTACAAAATGTGTAGTCACAGAAAAAGAACTAACATTTTAGGTGGACACAAAAACATCACATTTAGCCTTGTTCATCTGGGGCTCCAGCAAATTAAGCTGGTCGCCCAAGAGCAAAATCCATGGCTTCTTTCTTTCCTTCCTGGTCGAAACAATAAAATAATCAACACTCATCTGATCTCGCAAAATTATACAGCTCAAAACTGGCTGTTCCTGAGCATCTTTGGTACTGAGTTCCTTGGACACCTAAACTATAGAGAATACACGCGCTGGCTTCTCCAAGATACAGCATCTGAAAAAGTTGATAGGCCAAAGCTGCTAGGACGATTACTTCAAAAGGCTGTTGCAAGCGTCTATTACAGCAGCCTGTGAGCCTAAGATAGCCTGACCTGATGGGTTTGCTTCCAAGGTTTTCATGACAGCATTAAAAACTGCCTTGCGGTAGAATGTATCCTCCATTTTCTTCAAAACCTCCTCCACAGCTTCAAATCTCAAGGCACCCAACAAAGTCAGGCGAGCAATAATCTCACCAAATTGTGTTGGAGCTTTAGGAAGGTCAATGCCAATGTCATCCAGCAGAGCACCGTATAACAAGCAACCGGCCTCCAGGTCTAGAGTCTTGAAAATTTTCTTTGTGTACAGATGCTCGAGTAGCCTAACGAGAGGATCAACAAAATTGGTGCCTTTATCTAGAGCAAGATTGACAGCTTCTTTAACAATTTCTGGGTAGTAACCAGGACTCTGCAACTCCTCAATACATTGTTGGGCTTCATCTAAAATACGTATGCCGAAATACTCCTCAAGAAGAGCTATTGTTTTCTTCTGAAGCTCAGCAGAGTTCCCCTTGGGAGCACTGGCTGGTTTATCAGGAGCAGGGGCAACAGCTGGTGCTGCATTTAATGGTTTTGGTGATGGTGTAGTTTGAGCTGGTGCTGGCCCAGGTGTAAAGCTGAGAGGACGAGATGGTGGAACACCAGTTCCCAAAAGTGCACTCTTGCCAATTAGTGCTGCGCCACTGCCTTGAGGAAGAAGCCTCGTGTTAATAGATGATGTCTTTTGAACTGGTTGATGGCTTATTAAGCAACAGCCCCTGGTTGCGAATTGAGTCACCTCTTGGCATTGATCTAGAACGGGGAACTTCCCAGTTATCATTGTCCAACCCAGGCATTCCAGGCATCTTTCTTGAACCAGGCATTCCAGGCATCATGCCTCCAGTTCCTGGGCGATTCATTGGAAACCCACCTCCAGGCGAAAGGGGGCCTCCTGGTGAGCTACGGCCATTCCTAATGACAGATGCTGCTCCAGGTCGTAATCCAAGATTCTTTTCTGCCTCAGAGTGAATTTCACTGATCGTCTTGGCCTTAATCTGAAAGTCACAAACAGCATAGATCTCAGAATAATTTTACAACGAACTGAAAGTGTGGCTATGTTCTGTGACCTATGCATGATACACGATACCAAGAATGTTCTAAGTGATGCATCAATATCACAGATTCATTATATGCATCCAAAATCTAGAGTCAAGCATTCACTTCAGTAAAATTCATGCTGGCATATCAAAGTAACAGAATGATTCTAAGCATGCCATTCAGTCACATAGTACATATGAGATCAAGGCATTAATGCCATTACAAATTCAAGGAAAGTAAGGTAGTTAAATCATATGTACACTAGAGTCATTTAATTACCTCCTCACGTCGAGGCACCCAGTTATGTGATCGAAGATCAATCACATCACGAACCATAAACCTCAATCGTGGTGCGAGCTGGGGATTCATTGTTAGCTCCTTCATCTGGATGAAGTAGGTATCATTAATCCGCCGAGACTTTGGGTTCTCATCAAGCTGTTTACCAATCGTATTGAAGAAATGACAGATAGCCTCGATATCTTCCTCTTCAGGGCATGGTTTCTTATCGGGCCCAGACCCCAAAAGCTCCTGCATACAAAGAATGGATTAGAAGGGTTCTCACTGGATAATAGAGGTACTGTTGTTAGTTCCTGGTAAGTACCATAACGATGTGATGAACTATCTTCTCAGGAATCATTTTTTGCTTGAGTAGCTCACCAATTAGCCGAATATTTCCAAGTGTTCTAAGTTTTACCAACCGTTCTTTGTCCCTTCTCTCCATCTCTTGGTCAGGGCCAGTTAATTTAGCAATCTCAGCTCTTAAGCTGCTAGCACCTTCAAAGGCTTCCTGACAATTGTCCAATAACACACGCTTGAATGTGATCTCTTTGCCACCTGGCTCTTCAGGAGTAAATGTCGGGAGCTTTTCATTGAGATCAGAACAAAGTTGAGCATACATCGGACAGAAGGTGGGCTCAAAAACTGCCTTCTCAAATATGAGAGATATAACATCCTGATCAAAAGCAGTAGGGAAGATGTCAGAAAACAAAAGGTTGTAAACAGATGGTGGTAAATAAAACAAACCTTCAAAATATCAGCAGTAGTAATTCCAGCTTCCATCAGTTGACCCTTGAGAAGATCGAATTTCTCTGGTGTAAGTTTGTTCAGAATACTGCATAATTAAGAGCAATTAAACAAAGAATGGAGAAACAAGGAACTGGGGAAGTTTTATTCTATAAATCTATAAATAAGACAAACAGCATGTTGGTACCTCGGCTGCCCTGCACAGGTAAGCAGTAAGCTTACCAGCACACTCACTCACTATGGCTAGAGGTAGAAGAAGATATTGAGAACAGCTCACACACAGCACAAGCTCATCGCTGGCCGAAAGCTCTGCTTCTGGATGTGGCAAACTGAACTGATTTGCTGTATTGCCTTTGGATAGAATATATACAACTCTAGCTGTACCTTTACCAGGTACATAGTTGTTGGTGAGGAGTACAAGAGTACACCAACTACCTACTCCTAAGGTACAGAGTATACCAGAGTACACCAACTACCTACTCCTAAGGTACAGAGTACACCACCTACATACTCCTAAGGTACAAGGGTACACCACCTACCTACTCCTAAGGTACAAAGCTTAGCTCAGCCATCTCCACTCTACATGGCTGAAGTAAACCACTACTACTATGGCCTACTGCCTTACTGCTACAGCTACAGCTACAGCTACAGAGACGATCAGTCTCCAACTCCCAACAGGGAGTGGTTGGCCGAGCCAACCATCCTCCAACAATGGATAACCGGGAGCATCAGATTATGTCTTACAATTCTTCCCCTAATCCTGCTGCTAACCCAATGCCTTGACCTCATCCATGCCAATCATCTTCCTCAGCTCCATGAACCGCAGGCGCCCGGGTAACTTGGTGAGGATGTCAGTGAGATGTCTGCCGGTCTCGACGAACTCGATGACGATCTATCCTCCATTGATGCAGTCCCGGAGGAAGAGGAACTTGATGTCAATGTGCTTGTTCCGGTCGTGGAGGATAGGGTTCTTAGCGAGAGCAAGGGCAGGCTGGTTGTCCACCATCAGAGTTGGCGGGTGAGCTTCCTCGCCGATCAGTTCACCCAGCAGCCGGCGCCGTGGCTGCTCGACACCACTGCCGGAGTGGTCGGATCCACTGCTGCCGAGCGCGCCATCTTCTTTGGTGCTTTCGGCAACCCCTCTTCGAGTGGTCGGCATTGAAGACGAAGCGCACGACCGCTGCTCGGCACCACTCTCGGGGTGGTCGGCACCTCTTCTCCAAATACCGTCTCCACCACCGTGGATAACTAAGTGTTCGACAACAAAGGTGCTTTTTGCCCACCTTCCCCGTGCCCGAGGCGGACCTCCCGGTCCCCGTGCCGCCATCCAACCGAACTTCACCGTTGCCGATCACGCTGCCGAAGATGAAGCTCGAGAGAAGGCTTCTTTGGAGCTCGTCATGTGGTTGTTGGCACCGAGTCCAGTACCCACCATCTTCACCGCCCACCACCCACGTCCGAGGTGGACTTGGGTGCGCGGGTTCGTCGAGGTTAACAGCCTTGAGCCTTGCCGTGCCCTTCCGCCATCATCATCTCTCCTCCTTAGCCTCAACATCGCATAAAGGCGCAGTGAACGTCACCATCGAGTGGCCTCATCATCCTCTTCACCGCGCTTCAATGAGCCTCTGACCTTCTTCTCTCCTTGCGATTTGGGCACTCCTTTTGCCCAATGGCTTGTCTTCCTTGCCCACGCCAATTGCGCGTGCGGTCGACCTTCTTCTCCGAAGAAGCCTTGCTGCAGCGCTTGCCATCGCCACCGTGGCTGGAGGAGGCTTCCCCGGACTTCTTCTCCTTCATCCAAGCAGCCCACTCCTCTGTCGTGACTGCTTGCCACTTGCCGCCGTCCAACGTCGTTCTTGGCCTTTGCTCCATGCGCTCGTCCACCGCCCACAGACGGCCTATCACATCCTCAATTTTGAGGGTGGACAAGTCCAGCATCATCTCTATGGAGAGAGCGGTCTAGATGTACTTCACCGGCATGGAGTGGAGGTATTTGGAGACCGCCTCTTCGTCGATGGTGACGCCGTGACTCCTCAGCTTGCTGATGAGCGACTGCAGGCGGAGGGAGAAGTCATCCACCGACTCACCATCCATGAACTTGAGGTTGGCGTACTCCTTGGCAAATTGGACCGTCGCCTTTTTTTTGACGCAGTGCCGAGCCGACGCCATCGCATCATTGCAATGGCCTCCCACGCTCCTTAGCGAAATTCTTCGCCTTCCTAACGGCTCCCCTCAGACTCCATTGCACAATGAAATGAGGATAGCCTCCAACGCTGACATGTCTTCTTCGTTGTTGGTGCCCTTGTCAATGGCATTACAGAGCCATCGGGCTCTGAGCTTGACCTTCATGGTCACCGCCCACTCGACATAGTTGGTGCGAGTCAGCGTCGGCCAACTGGTGCCGCTAACCTCCCGCACCATGCGCGATGATGACCTCCCTCGTGGCTCTCCGGCAGCCACAAATGGCCTTATTCTTGTCGTCCATCTTCAAATAGTCCCATCATCGCCACCGGTTAGTCCGCGACGACGCATCATGTACTCTCGATACCACTTGTTGGTCCTCACCACTACCTTTGCACTTGTGTGTGCGAAAAGCTTACCAAAGACACTCACTATGGCTAGAGGTAGAAGAAAATATTGAGAACAACTCACACACACAAAGACAAGCCCAAATAACGGCCAAAAGCTCGCTTCGGATGTGACAAACCGAATCGATTTGGTCAGATTGCCTTTGGATACAATATATACAACTCTAGCCGTACCTCTACCAGGTACATAGTTGTTGGTAAGTACACCAACTACCTACTACCGGAGTACAAGAGTACACCACCTACCTACTCCTAAGGTACAAGGGTACACCACCTACCTACTCCTAAGGTACAAAGCTTAGCTCAGCAATCTCCACTCTACATGGCTGAAGTAAACCACTACTACTATGGCCTACTGTCTTACTGCTACAGCCACAGAAACTGGTCAGCAGAGCTGATCAGTCTCCAACTCCCAACAGGGAGTGGTCGGCCGAGCCGACCATCCTCCAACAATGGAGAAACGAGAGCAGCAGATTATGTCTTACACAGCACACTTAAATAACCGATTAAGAAGACAAAATCATTATATTACCCTTTCACCGTTTTCAAGACTCTTTCTTTCTCCGAGAGATTGCCTCTTCGAGCTGACCAGGGCACTTCAGCCTTAATAAGTGCATGGGTAGGGCCAACCTGGAATTTGGTAAAAAGAACAGGGCAATTATGATCCAAAGAGTAATTACATGAAAATAACAGATAGATCTGCTAAATGGCTAGCCCGCTCCACGTACATACAAGTTTAGTGAACGCCAAAGGCCTAGATACTGTTGACAATGGCAGACCAATGTTGTTTTCCGTTACACTTATTCTCAGCACAACTTCATGTCATTTGAACAACATTCATAACTAGATTTAACAAAATCAAATGGGGTATTGAACATTCCTAGGTCAGGCGTTTAGTTAAATAAATGGTTCCAACATTAATATAGTGCGATAGGCCAGAAGAATGAAGTTGGTCTACAAAATTTGACGGAAGGAGTTGCATCCAACAAACATTGATTGTAAATGGGTAGCTAACCAAATAAGTTTCAACTTGCAACCACAGAGCAAAATATAAACAACAGCACAGGACAATAATCAAAATGCAAGGAAGAAAACAAATAATGGAATAGTAAAATGGAACAGCAAAACTAGTAGAGCTGTTCATACTCCTTGAAGGTACCTGAGCTTTCGAAGCAAACTGGGAGCTTAACTGATCTTGCCTGTTAGCTTGCTCTTGTTGCCTACCACTAGAGGCATAGGCTTCTTTAGCCTCACGTATGTTGTCCCAAGATTTCTCTTCATTAGCCGGAGGCAGTTGTGATGACCGTGCACGCCAATCACGGTTATCAGTCTCAGCATACCGATTCTGTGCTTGGGCTTGGGCTTGGGCTTGGGCTTGGGCTTGGGCTTGGGCTTGTCCTTGAATCTGAATAATGCATTTCAGTGGTTTAGCAAAACAGTACCTTGTGAACATCTGAGAAAATTAGAAGGTAAAAAAAATAGACCCAAGGAGAAGGTAATGAGGGGGCTCACAGCTGAATCATTGCGAACCCAGCTCTGATCTTCACCATGAAGCTCTACATCAATCTCTTGCTTGATCCTTAGAATGTCCTCAGACACATCAACAATCTGCCAAGACGTGGAAGAACCATAATCAGTGTATGCAAATTTGATAAACTGTATACATACCACATGATGCATTGAATGTCAGCCTCCCAATTACAAGTCATGAAGTCATCTAACATACATAGCCATATGAAATATTCCCTCAAAAAAGTGATAACCAAGTCAGTTGTCACCCTCTTCAAATTAGCACTATCCATATTTGGGTACAAGTGCGAGCTTATAAATACCCCAACTTGTTTGGGACTTAAAGGCTTTGTTGTTGTTGTTGTTGTTGTTGTGCGAGCTTATAAATTGAAATAAAATGAAGCAACCTAAAATGGCTACTGACAAGAGAGAAATCCAATCAGCTATGAAGCTTCCTGCCATTTTGTTTAACATCTACATGTGCAACTTCACCCTCATCTACTGTGAATGCCTCTACCTCCATCCTGAGTTTTCTTCAGTTCAGAAAAGTAGACCCACTTTGGATCCAGCACTGACTCCAAGATATAAATTTCACAGAGAAGTACAACTGTCAAAGTGTTTGCTTAACAAAAAAAAAACAATCTGAAAGTGCTACTAACAGAATAGTCATTAAAACCAAATTCTTGCAAGCAATCTAGAAACTGCTGTAATCATTTATTGGCCAAAGTTGCCATTTTACTGCACAAACACTTGACAGTAGCATACACTTGCAAGAGGAGGTATCATTTTCTCAATGCATGTATGCTCTTTTTGCCACAACCCAGATATGCAAGAATGTTCAAAGAGAATTTCCGCAATCTGCAGATACAACAAGCTACATTATAGGCACTATTCTTTAAAACCACAAATGACACATCTAGGAAGACATCTGTAGCAATCTTCAAATCCAGAAATTGGCTTTGTATGAAGCATCAGATATTAAGTACCTCACGCAGCTCGAGAAGTTGATCTCTTGTGTAACGAACACGCTCGCGTGGCTCAAAATGTGAATCACCAATCTGCACCAAAATATTAGCTATGTCAAGGTAGCACAGATGAGTCTACAGAACCATTTTAACTTTACACTAGCTATAGTATGTGATAAACTTAAGAAAATTAACCCAGTCGAAGCAGGGTGCACAGTGTACAAAACAGTTGAGCCTACTAAGAACAAGTCCATGTGTGAAATAAACAGCATATCGATGAAAGAAATATTCGTGTTAACTGCTTAGCCCCATCATATAGTATCCCAAAGACCACATACAAAGGCAAGTGAAGCCCGAAGGGTTGAATCCCTCTGGGCAGGAGCACGGCATGCATCAGAATCTACCAAATCGCATCCCAGGTAGTATTAATCCTTTGGTACGCATCAGCACCTTATAAATAAAATCTCATGAAGGGGCTTCAAGACTACTAAATCTCCCCATATCTGACAACGAAATGAGACGCCGCACCAAAACGAGCTCGTCTACAATTAAGTAGGCCCCCTAACAAGGAGATCCAATCGTTTCCCCCGGATCTCCGCCTCCCGCCACGCCGCAAACCAATCGAACCCACTACGGACAGCAAACCATACATCCAGATCGAGCCTTCCTCACCTTGGAGATGCCGGAGGCGCCCCCGCCGTGCGGGCGGAGGAAGTCTCCGGAGCCGGAGGTGGCGAAGGCGGGGGAGAAGAGGCGGCCGGCGCGCGGGCCGCCGCCGCCACCGGGGCGCAAGCTGATCACAGGCTGATCCGGCTGCATGCTTCGGGGGAGAGAATCCGACCAGAAAGCGAATCGCGCGGGAGTCGATCGAGGAATCGGCGGGCGCGCGGGGGAAAATCGCGGGGGAATCGAAGGTCACGGAGGGTGGAAGGGTTCCGTCTGCGACCTCTCCTTCGGGGAAGAGAGGAGAAGGGAAGGGAGGCGTGGGCGACGGGAGGAGGTGGGGTTTTATCTGTGGAGCTAGGGCTGCAGGGGCTGTATCGTAGTTCGCTGCGGAGTGGTGAGGGCAGTTTCGTGATTGCGTGCAAGGTTTTGCCTACGAGGGCTGGCGTCCGGTGGACCCCTGTACGCGTGCGCTCGTTCTGGCGGTGACGGGTAATGACGGTTCTGGTCAGGTGAGGCGGGGGTATTTGCAGCTGGGTATCCTTTTTCAGCTGAACAGTGATGTTATGCCGTCTCCAACAGTAGACCTTGTAACCTCACGTTAGTGATCCTCTTTTCTCCCTCTGTCGTGAAAATATGAATTAGGGTGTGCCTCAAATTCATGTCACCTCGAATGTACATATATTAATAAGGAGCATTAAATATAGATTAATTATAAAATCAATTACATAGATGGAGGCTAATTTACGAGACGATTTTTTAAGCCTAATTAATCTGTCATTAGCATATGTTTACTGTAGCACCACGTGTCAAATCATGGCTAATTAGGCTTAAAAGATTCGTCTCGCAAATTAGTCACAAGTTGTGCAATTAGTTTCATAATTAGTCTATATTTAATACTCCATGCATATGTCCAACGTTCGATTTGATAGGAATTTTAGGAGCGCCTAAAAAACCAAACAGGACCTTACTCCCTCAAATTATAAGGTATTCTAATTTTTTTTAAAGTCAAAGCATCTTAAGTTTGACTATATATTATATAATAATATAATAACATTTATGATATTAAATAAGTATCATTAGATTCTTCATTAATTATATTTTCATGGTATACCTATTAAGTGTTATAATTTTCTCTATAATTTTGGTCAAACTTTAAATGTTTTGACTCTCCGAGAAAGTTGAAATGAATTATAATTATCTATTTGATGTAATAAATCTTTGTATTTTTTGTGTAATTTTGATCAAACTTGAAATGTTTTGACTCTCTAAGAAAGATGGAATTACTTCTAATTTGTAAGGTAGACATATATGTATTTATTTTCTTTTCATATATGTGGGTAATTTAAATAGTGAAGTTTTAGATATTATTTTTTTCATGCATTTGCATTTACACAAAGATCTACATTCAGATTGTGTGTGGAAAATATGGGTTTGTTTGGTCATATGGCTTGCTAGGGTCAAGTTAATCGGACTAAAAACAACCTAAGAGTCTCTTTATATACCTCTGTATTGATAGATATGGAGATTTTGATTTACAAACCATCATCCAATAGCTTCTTCACTTAGATCTCCAAATTTTGCCATCCTCTATTCTTGTTTTCTCACTACCCAGAGGTGAAGAGCGAAGCCACTCTCTAAAGTACGTATAAGATATAGAGAATGTTGTTAGAGGTCTCCAAAGCTCTGATACTACCACCGAAAGTCTCCGGTGATGTCACGGACTTACAAATAATTGTATAACTACTAGTTTCTTGGCGAGCTTATAAATAGAGGGTATGACCGAACTTATAAGCAGTTAAGCACTCTTGGCACTCCTAACTGATATCCACACTTACTAGACCTCAAGAATCCACTCCACTCACATTTGCTTGCTAGAGACTACATTTGTTGCGAGATTAGAGTGATATAGTGCATTTGCTTTTAGAGATGGCATCTAGTGGTACTAGTCATCTGTCTTTTGTAACACCTCGGGTGTTAGCCTTGCATAACTTGACTTGCATAACATGAGCATGATCATCAAGCATTCATAAACAAGCATTTATCATTGAAACATTAGATTGAAACATCTGCAACGTTTGCTTGTTATCGCATGTTTCTTAAACATATGCAACTTTTCTCGTTATTTCATGTCTCCATGTATCTATGCATATGATCATGAGTGTACACATGTACTTGGTGGATGTGAGTCACACAAACATGTAGCCACACTAGGGTAGCAAATAGGACCTTATTCATGGTTACATTTCATGAACCAACATTTAAGCTCCATGTGATTACACTAGCTAGCTCTATGAGTGACTACTACATGAAATGATTGAATGACCTTGCAAATTGCTTGAACATGTCTAGAGTATCATTATGAACAACTTTGATATTCATGGTTAGGGGTAATTAGGTCATTAAGCCATGCTTTGATGTGTATCATCATTTAAAAGTGACATGTTTGACCAAATTTGAACTAGGTGTTAGAGACCTTGCATGGAGGAGATCACTAAAGCAAAGTTATAGTGTTTGACATAAGGAACAACTTTTATTTTTAGGTCATGGACTGATTTAGCTTCTAACATGCTTGAATGGGTCCCACAAAAACCAGCAAAATCAAGCTTTCAACACTTAGATGAGTCTAAGTCCCGGATCACCACACCTATAGTATGACAAGTCGACCTTAAGCATGATTTTACTCCGTCTCGGTTGTGAATTATAACTAGATTCTTGAACGAAAGTTGTAGATGGTACATCGGTCTACAAGTTCCATTTAAATGGTTTACGTCCATAGAGTTATGGATTAGCATATTAGATGAAAGCCAAAAACATTCGTGTTAACTCGGCATTCCTTATCATATCGTAATCAAAATGTTCAAAGGCCACACCGCAGAACCGCAAGTGGAGCCCGCGGGGTTGAATCGTCGCCGCTCTGACTACGGAGCACGGCATGCATCAGAATCAACACTCAAACGTCGCCCGCAATGCCCAGGTAGTTTGTTTTTCCTTTCCTTCTTCATCAGCACCTTATAAATAAAATCTCATGAAGGGGCTTCATAGCCAGACTACTAAATCTCCCCATATCTCGCCAACGAAGATGACCACTAGCTCCACCACCCAACGCCTCCACCAGCGCTCGTCTACAACTTAAGCAATGGCCCCTAACAAGCTTCGATCCAGAACATCCTCGTTGTGCCGGATCTCCGCACCTTCCTCCACCGTAGACCGCAAAACCTTGCGATAGGTTCTACGGACAGGTGCTCGTCATACTTTAGGTCGAGCCACCGAGGTCATCACCGGCGTAGCGCCTCACCTTGGACCGATCCGCCGGAGGCGCCCCGCCACTAGAGTCGATGTTAGGGTCGGGCAGTAGTGCAAACGATCTCCAAGTAGAACGTCGGAGAAGATGTCACGCGGCGAACTTCGGAGCCGTCGAGTTCTAGCCGCGCCGTAGCGGCGCCGCCGCCTCTGCTTTTTGTTTCAAGCTGACCACAGGGGTCAATCCCAATGGGTCCATGTTCGGGGACTCCTGAAAAGCTAGTTCATTTAAATCGAATCTGGTGTTGTTTTGTAATTTTTGTATCTTCAGTTTGGTAGCTTCAAAATTGTGAAATAAATTTGTTAGTGTTCCTTAGAAAGTGTAGTATTTAGGAAAAATATGTTCTTAACTTTTTGCAGTAGAAATGTTTGGAGATTTAAATAGAGATTTGAAATGTGCTTTTGAATGCATTCAAATTTGTTTATTTTATATCTAGAGTTCCTGTGTTCCAAAAATTATGAAATTTCTGTGGTAAGCTAGTCTTAGCATATATGAGCTCTGTAAAAAGTTGAAGATGAGTGCATGTGTAGATTTGTAGTTATAGATTTTTCTTTGCAGGAGATCCTTGTGTAAATTTTATAAATTATTTAAGAATCCAATATTCATGAAATTTGTTGCGTCCTAGTACCATAAGGATGCTAAAAAAAATAGGAAATCTGTTGCTTGACACTTTTCACTAAGGTTTTCTATTTATGCTATTTCAAGCCTTGGTCAGTCATTTTGTATAGGATGTTCTACTTGGCAAAATGGCATGAAATTTTTAGCTGAACAGTCTATTGGTAGCACTAGTAAGCCACTGTAATTTTTTGAGAATTTATGATGCACATTTGGTGTAGGTTTTATTATTTAACCTAGGGGTTCAAATAAAATAATAAAGGCATTTAAATAAATAGTTTGGGCTTCACCATTATATTTTCTTAGATGTATTTGGTATGCTTAAACTGTTGGTAGACTTTTGGTCATAAAGATTTGAATACTTATATGAAGTAGAAGTATTGTTACTTTATAATAAGAATTGAAATAGTTTTTTGACAAATTCGGAGTTTGCTAAGTTGCATGATAGAGATGAGGTTTGCTGTAAAATGGTTAATAACAAAGTTGTAGATAATTCGATAACCTTTCCGTAAAAGTCTAGAATCACTGCATTTGAATTAGTAGAACTCCTGTTATGAGTAAAACAAGTAGCTGCTGTTTTGTGATATAGTAGATGCATTGTGGAAGTAGTAATTAAATAATCGAGAAGAGATATGCACCTACTCAATAAACATGATGCACTTGATAACATATATGCATTCGTAATACTTATGCCATATTCATGTATCTAGGATCGGAGGAAGAAATAACGTTTTTGGAATTCAAGAAGCGAGGGAAGGGGACCAAAGGGGAGGATCCAAGCCGCAGACTCCCAAAGGTGTGGGCCCTCAAGAGCTTATAAGGTCACCACCCTAATTTTTTTCTCATGAGGCAAGCCCCTTAGCATTCTAAGTCTCCCTATATTTTACAAATGATTACTTAAGTACTTATGATTGATGCATTAGGTTATAAGAGTTGAATGGAACCACTTGATTCATATACATTCCTTTTCCATGGTACACCTTTAACCCAGTTATAGGTCCGAGGATCTAACATATGCTTAGCCATGCTTAACTTTAGAATGTTTTTCTCTCACTGCGAGATATAGGTGGATAAATAAACGGTTATTATAATCTATCGTGAAAGAACCATGGTTAATGTAAATGGAGACCGGACGGGATGTATTTGGAGGTCTTGGGTGTGAATCTATCCTCATCAAACGATGAAATGTTTTGTTGGTGCTTCTCAAGATTGAAGCGTGCCTATCAATTACTTCTAA